ACTTGGGAGGCTGAGGCAGGAGAAGAATCGCTTAAACCCAGGAGGCGGAGGTTGCAGTGAGCCAAGATCATGCCACCACACTCCAGCCCGGGTGACAGAGTGAGACTTCATCTCAAAAAAAAAAAAAAAAGAAAAGCATAGAAAGCTATCGTATCAAAGATACTTTATTTGCCACTGTAGACTGCCATAACAAATAGTTTCAAATTTCAGTGGTTTAGGAGTTATTTCTTGAATAGGTCTGAGTTTAATGTGTGTAAATGATTGTGCGTGGGCGGCGGGGGCAGGTGTGGGCAGTGGGGGAACCAAAGGAGGAGAGGCCTCTGTTTCATGCAGTCATTCAGGGACTTGGGCTCTTTCAATTTCCCATCCCTGGAGTCCTCCAGTGTATCTACTGAATCCCACCCAAGATGAGAGAGAAGAGAGTGTGAAGGAAGGGGCAGGAAGTTTTATTCCTCAGGCCTGAAGGCAGCATCTAGTACTTTCACCCCTGTAACAGTGATGAGAATTCAGTATAAAAGATAGATAAAAAATAGTATACCTAAATAGGAACTTACCATGAGTGGAGCTTGCAGGACTGGAAGTTGCTCCAGGAGAGTCAGTGAGTGAGTGGTGAGTGAATATGAAGGCCTAGGACATTACTATTCACTACTGTTGACTTGACAAACACTGTACACTTAGCCTATGCTAAATATTTTTTAAATTCTTCAGTGGTAAATTAACCTTAGCTTACTGTATAACTTTTTAACTTTATAAACTTTTAATTTTTTCTTTTTTATTCTTTCATAATAACACTTAGCTTAAAACACAAACTGTATAGCTATACAAAAATATTTTCTTCCCTTGTATCCTTATTCTATAAACATTTTTCTACTTTTACAATTTTTTTTTTTTTTTTTTGAGATGGAGTCTCGCTCTGTCTCCCAGGCTGGAATGCAGTGGCCGGATCTCAGCTCACTGCAAGCTCCGCCTCCCGGGTTTACGCCATTCTCCTGCCTCAGTCTCCCGAGTAGCTGGGACTACAGGCGCCCGCCACCACGCCCGGCTAGTTTTTTGTATTTTTAGTAGAGACGGGGTTTCACCGTGTTATCCAGGATGGTCTCGATCTCCTGACCTCGTGATCCGCCCATCTCGGCCTCCCAAAGTGCTGGGATTACAGGCTTGAGCCACCGCACCCGGCCTACAATTTTTTTTACTTTTTAAACTTTTTTATTAAGAACTAAGACACTTGTGTACACACATTCGCCTAGGTCTACACAGGGTCAGGATCATCCATCTCTCTGTCTTCTGCCTCCACATCTTGTCCCACTGGAAAGTCTTCAAGGGCAGTAACACACATGGAGCTGTCATCTCTTATGATAACAATGCCTTCCTCTGGAACACCTCCTCAAGGACCTACCTGAAGCTGTTTTACCATTAACTATTTTTTTAAAATAAGTAGAAGGAGTATGCTCTAAAATAGTGATAAAAGTATGGCATAGTAAATACCAGTAACCCAGTCACTTATTATCAAGTATTATGTACTGTACATAATTGCACATGCTATACTTTCATACAACTGGCAGCGCGGTAGAGTTCTCACCAGCATCACGTAAACATGTGATACGTCGCGTTACGATGTCACTAGGAATTTTTCAGCTCCATTATGATCTTATGAGACCCCCCACCATCGGATATGCCATCCTCATTGACTGAAACATTGCCATATGGTACATGACTGTTACCTCTTACAGCTTCTGTGGGTCAGGATTTCAAGAGGGGTTCATTCAGTTGGGTGATTCTGGCTTAGAGTTTCTCATAAGTTGCAACCAGATGGTGGCTGAGGCTGAGTCCCAAAGGAATCTGCACTTAATGTGCCTGACCTCTGGGCTAGAAGACTCAAGCCAAGCCTAGCATCTCTCCCTCCTCCTCCTCCTCCTCCTCCTCCATGTGGTTTCACCAGCATGGAGGCTTCAGATCATCTGCTTTTCTCATATGGCAGCTCAAGGCTGCAGTGCAAGTGAGGGGAGCGAGAGAGCGAGCCCCTCCCCATTGCCTCCTCTAGGTAGCCTCAGAAGCTCTGCAGCATCACTTCTGCCACAGTCTTGTTTGTCCAGCAGTCTCAAAGCCTGCTGAAGTTCAAGGGAAATTGGCATAGATATCACCTCTTGATAGCAAGTGTATCAAAAAAAAAAAAAAAAAGAAGTGACAGACATGTTTGGAGACCACCACACTTCCCATATCCACATCTGGACACTGTCCTTGGCCCCCATCCAGGATCACCCCTCCTGCTGACAGTTCAGAACCCATCCCAGGCTGACATACACTGACTCCCTTGAGGCCAGAGCTGAAGGTCATAAAGGTCTGGAGGAGCCTGGGCAGGGACAGTGGGGGCTGGCCTTGGGACAGGCAGCCTCTCTTCAGGGTGAGTGTAATCCATTCCCATTTCTAACCACGTGTGTTGAAGCCCCAGCTTTGTGTTTCTCATCATCCCGTGGCCTGCAAGTAGGAGACAAAGCTCCTGCAGAGCATGCAGGCCTGGAGAAGGAAAGTAAGTTACTCAAACTCACCCAGACCCGACTGTGTGGAACTGGGGGCTAGAGGTATCTCACCTCAAAGTCCACGTGCTCCCTGGACTTCCTGGGGGTATGTGTGTTTGGGAGGTGGGCAGAGGCAGGCAGCACAGCTCAGTGGGAGGGGAGAGCCCTTTCCTCCTCCATAGTCCCTGTGTCACTTGCACTCAGATACCATGGAAAGAGGGGTCACAGAAATGCTGCAAAGGACAGGCAGTGGGCTGGGGGGGCACTCTTGGCTCCATTATTCTATTTTTCAGCCACAAAATAGACCCCTCTTTTTACGTGTAGGAAGAGAGCACACCAACGAGGAGTGTCTTGGGGACCCCAGCGTTCATCTATAGGCACAAAGTTTGGGGTACGGGGCTGTCAGCTTCTGTTGGTGAACTGAAATTTCAGAGTTGAGATGCGAGAGATGCGCTTCAACTAATTACAGTAATAGCTGCCGTGATTGAGCGCTTAACAAGTGCTAGATAAGTGCTGTGTGTACATCATCTCATTTAACCCTCATCAAAGCTCCTGAGGTCAAGATTGTCGGCCTCATTTGTAAATGGAGAAACTGCACCTCAGAGATGAAGTGCACTGCCATTAGATCACTCAGTAAGTGGCAGGACAGGGATTCAAGCTCAGGACTGCCTGCCTCTGAAGCTCAGCTCCCAAACACGAACACTGTGCCAGAGACGGTCCCACAGCACACCCTCTGCCCCCCGCCACATCCTCAGCATTTCAGCAGTGCACTCAGTGTGCTTTGACATAATAAATATTCATTGAAAATATTGGTGCTGCAGATGCTGGCACAAGCTGCTGAGATACCATGCTGTGTCCTGGTAATTAAACCCTTAGTTGCATTGTCATATTCACAGTTGTCAAGGTCCCCAAACATCCATCTGAATTCAGATGGGAGGTAAGAAGAACACGTGTGATGCTTTGGAGTGTGTACAGATTTCTGTCTGCAGGTTTCCCATCCCTGCATGGATAACCCTTTATTTTCCTGGGTAATTCTTGCTATGCTTTTTTTTTTTTTTTTCTAAACCAGCACTCAAATTAGCCAGAGAAGTCTAAATGCTGCTTTTCTCCATCACAAGCTAGTTCAGAAACAACTCTGATGCTGTTTTAGGTATTGGAAAACTCAAGGAGAAAAGGAGGAGGTACCTGTGCGAGGTTACTCAAGGACTCACTTGATTTTTATTTCAGTATTATGTCTGATATCAGGAGAGTAATCCCTCCTCAAACTCGATTTTTTTTTATATATATAAAGTGCTAGAATCTGAAAATTCCTTCCCTGTTCATTTTATGCAACTGTATAAAGGAGGCATAATTGCAGGGTGGCATCTTTAGGAAGCGACTAGGAGAAGCGAAGAAGAGATGAACGTTTGGATGGGGATTCATCGTTGGAAAAATGGCTCTTAGTATAAAAATGTTCAGAAAGAAAAGATAATTCACAGATACCTTGTTGAAAGTCCAAGGGCCAAAACCCTGAAAAGTGAGGGTTAAAGAGGGCATAATCTGTAGAGATCAATTATTCAGCATCTATTATTGAGAACTGTAGCATATTATTCATGGTTCCTTTTTTTGGCATTCAGTCTTGTTAGATTATTTTAGTGAACACGGAATATTCATGCAGTTGTTCACAGGCTCATTCGTGACTTCGGTTTTTCTGAACTGTTTTTCCATCATCCGTGCTGCCCTCCACCCTCACTTAAATATCACCACCACCACTTCAGCTCTTCTACGGCAAATCCTTCTCTTTGGGGCTATATTCAGGAGCGTAAGCCTGTAAATTGAGGCAGGAGTAATCCATGCAAATGTCTTGACCTAACATGTGAAATGAGTGACGTTACCTCTGCTGTGTGCCAAGCACATACTGTATCTACCATGTTGGGTATGGAGTTAAATGAGATATGTCCTTCGCCCTCAGGGAGTTTGCAAAGTAGCTGGAAAATAGACAATTTTTGTCTTGTTAGTTTCTAGCTACATACCAAAGTCAGGCAAATTCTTTTGATTTTAAGTGATAGAAAATTCAACTCAAACTGGTTTAAATCAAAATATAGGAGAGATGGGATAGAATGGGTCATACACTCTCAAAATACAGAGGTAATTGGCTTCAGGCATGAGTGGGTCTGGACATTCACAGGAGAGCACCATCTGCTCACTGTTTTTGTGGTGGCGAGATGGCTTCTGGCTACCCTGAACAGCTTAGCAATCCCAGCAGATAAGCAGTTATTGGGATTTTGAGTCATTTAGGCATTTCTGAAACAATTGCTGTGGTCAGGGAGACTGAAGATACTTACCAGCCTGGCCTGGATCAGAGGCCAGTGCCCAGAGCTGGGAAGAGGGGTCAGCCCCATTTGTATGACATGATCTGAGATCTGGGGGAGGGGAAACTTCAACAGAAAAATGTGTTACCTAAAGAAGGGACCACAGAAGGCAGGCAGTTAAACATAACAGAGGTCTGCTATGTGCATAATGAATGGTTTATTCCATACAATATCCTTAAGGTTAGCCGGGCATGCTCAAGGGATATCGTTAATCATCAGAATTGCCGCCTTCTGGACAAGCAACGTCCCTTCAGTCCAAGCCAGTCTGGATTAAATAGACTGTGATTGTAACCCACAAAAATCTGACCTGAATTTGCTCTCCATTGCAGTGACCTGGACAGAAATAATATCACCAGGATCACCAAGATGGACTTCGCTGGGCTCAAGAACCTCCGAGTCTTGTAAGTAGTTGATGGCTCTCGGGTGCGTTTTCATTTTTAGCTCTTCAGCCTTGCAAAAAAAAAAAAATGTTCCACTGCCCCTGACACCACACTCCCAAGCCCTGGACAACAGGAATTCACCATTCTGCAGCAGAAAACCCCTCATTAGTGTACCCACGTGCTCACAGGTATCACAGTCCGTGTCTAGATGCTGCTGGCTGAGCTGGATCGATGGAAGAACTTAGTTCCAGTGATAGGGAAAGCGGAAGGCTATGAACGAATAAATCAGCATGCCCAGCTTCTAGGATGACAGCGATGTCAGGTTGACTAACCATGCTTCCCTTCCATAGAGATGATAATTTCTTCTCCAGCCTGTGCATTAAAAGAGCAATCGGGACAAAAGTTATCTGTCTCGTAGCTTAATGGAGGGGAGGGGAGGAGAGCATCAGAAAGGGTCAGCGCCCTTGCTGAACACCCACAGCTGTGCAGACAGGTAGCAAAATTTGAGATGGGCATTGATGGACTGGGGGAGCAAGGAATATTAGGTTTCATTGCTGAATATTGAACACTTTCATCCATCCTTAAGTCTGTGAGTGATAAGAAACTTACCAAGTGCTTGTCTGTCGAAAAGTCTAAGACATTTAGAGGTACAGGAAAAAGCAATTTAGATCTTTTTTTTTCCTTCTTTACTTGGTTAATTTTGACCCATAAACATGGCTCCAGGCAAGACGTACAGTCTGGGCCAATTGGCCACCGCCTTGGTATTTGTATGCCATGGAATCTTAGCTGGCAAATTGTTACTAGAAGTAACAGCTAAAGTCTTGGTACCTGAAGCTACCTCCTTTTTACTAATAGCCCTATATAATAAATAGAATGAATTTTGTACTTGGTTCAGAAAGTACCAGGCTCTGGTCCTGATTCAGAATTAGCTACCCATGAAACCTTGGGCAGACTACTTTTCCTCCTTGGGCCTCAGTTTTCTCATTTGCAGTATAGGGAATACGTAGTTAGAAGTATTTTCAGCTCTCATAGTTATACATGTAGTGCTTCATTGTTGTAGCATTTTCTGATTATTCTCAGGATTACTTGTGAAGCATTAATTTTACAACATTGTTTTTCTTTTCTGACTGAGTTGTTAGTAATGATGATGGACCTGATACTTTGATGGGCCCAGCACAGTATTACATAGTGGTAACAAACAAGGTGGGCATTATTATGAGCCCCTAATTGTAACAGAGAAAACCAGAGGCATGGATAGGGTAAGTAGTCCCAACTCTACAGAGCAGGTGACTGAAGGAGTTGGAATTGGAACCCGGACTCTGCGTTTTCTAACCTCCATGCAGTGCCACTGTGTATTCGCATTATAGAAAGCTGAGAAAACTAAGACAGTGATAGTCTACCCATTTTGTAAATGCAGCACTGTTAATGTGGGGGCTTGTCTGAGCTTCTCTTACGTACACATGTGTGGAGACATGGGGAATCTGAATCCTGGGCCTCCAGCTTGCAGGTGCTCTCCACATGGACATGTTCTCCATCTTTGGAGAACATCAAACACTCTCCTCTCACCAACCTCAAAGGGAAGGCACACCCTGTGCCAAGTCTTTTGCCTCAGCAGCCATGTGTCTGTCAAGTGACTGGTAGTTCTGACAAGGTGTGCGTGGATCAGAGTCGAGACTGGGATCAGGGTGGGGGAATTTCATGGTTCAGTTTTAGGGCGATTGTTATTGAAGAGGTATAGGTAACAACAACTGATTCTATGTCATTTGCCAGGTTAACAAATAGACGCTTGTTTACCTTCTCACTTTTTTAAAAATTTATTTCCCCTGCGTCTGTGAGAGATTACAAGTCAGAAATTTCACCTAATGCTTCGTTTTCTAACAAAGTCAAAAACAACCCTTTGATTTTCTTAGCGTTACATCAGAAAGACTAATAAAAACTCCAATTTTCGTGTCTGCTCTCTGCAAATAGAAAGTTTAAAATAATCACAAAAGATTGTTTAGTATCCCCTGGATGGTCTGCAACATTCCTTTGACTACGGTTTATCTTTTCAGTTAATTGGTACATTTCTCTTATTTTGATAAGCAATGCCAAAAAGCCTTCCCCTAAACCCCCCCCCCCCGTAGACTATTAATATACTCTGTTTCATTATCTTCCTTATCAACTCAAAGACAATCCCATTCAAGTGGCCCTTTATTACTGTGAAAGAATCTGCCTGGTGGAATAGCTGAAATGCTTTCTAACTAACACCAATAAAATATCCAGACATTTTTACCATATTTTTCCTCAATCTATTCTTTTTAGCTGAGTAACCTAGACAACTATCTTTTTTTAAAAGATTTTTTTCACACCTTGGCACATTCCCCATATCTGTTTCTTATTTACAATTTCTAGAGAAGCTAGAAAAGATTCAGTAGTCTTGAATAATTGGCCACCCATTTCTATGTCAAACTGTTAATATGGGCAAAAGCAGATAAAATGGAGATTGAGGCACTTCGGTCTCAACCCAGGGCGATTTTCCCCAAACGAAGAGCATTTAAGGAGAAGAAAGAAGAATTGCCCAGGACGTTTTTTTTTTTTTTTTTTCTCCCATGGGGTGGGAGTAGGAAAAAGTCTCTTCTGATGGTATAAATTATGTTTCATTTCTTGGTAGTCTAAGGGTTCTGCTATGCTTACAATGTGGGAGCCAGCTTTATCCCAAACGGGGTTAATAAAAAAGTTAAACTCCACCCCAGCCATCATCACAAGGGGGGCGATTTCTGATCCTGATCCAGTGCTAAAGCTAAAAAAAAAAAAAAAAAAAAAAAAAAAAAAAAAAAAAAATTGCAAAAGAGCTGAAAATGAACACAGGCTCTGTTCTAATTCAGAACAGACTCCATCCGTGGACAGCCCTTCTGGATGTCCAGCCCTTCCTGGATCCCCTGTCTGAAAATGTGGGGAAGGTATCAATGGCTTTTAGTGCTTGCTCCTGGCTCGCATCTCAGCCCAGAAGTCTGGATGGGAGGATCTTAACTCATTCGTTCACTGATCCATTTATTCATCAAATATTGATTTGTTGAGCCTCTGATTGCCAGGTTCTAGGCTGGACTCTGATGGAACTAGGAAGTAGATCTGGAAGGGACATAGATACCTGGCAGTGAGGGTCCCAGCAGAAAAGAGGGCAAATGAGGAGAGTGAAGTAAAGACTTCTTTAGAGGTGTGGGCAAGGTGAAGAGAAACCTAGAGGAGATAGTGCAGTTCCTTGAGGCCAGAGTGAAAACGGGGCCACTACTGTGCCCTGGGCCTCAAGGAGCACAGGGAGGAAGTGGTTTTCAGAGCCTGGCAAAAGTAGGGAGCTGTAGCGTTAGGTAGAGGGATGCAGTCAGCCTGAAGTGGCTTGGCAGGGGTGGAGAAGAGTAAATCCCCCAACCACAGTCTTCCTCCACCCTCTGATCTCCTGCTGGTGCCTCTCTTTGGCTGAACCTGACAGGAATTCAGAAGTCAAAAAATTTCTTGATGGTCTTGATGGCTACATGCAGTGACTCATGCCTGTAATCCCAGCACTTTGGAAGACCGAGGCGGCTGGATTGCTTGAGCTCAGGAGTTTGAGACCAGCCTGGGCAGGGCTCCCCAGGCTGGGCAACATTGTAAAACTCCATCTCTACCCCCCACCAAAAAAAATTAGCTGAGCATGGTGGCATGCACCTATAGTCCCAGCAACTTGCACCACTGCACTCCAGCATGGGTGACACAGTGAGAACTTGTCTTGGGAGGAAAAAAAACCCAGCTTCTTGATGAAGCCAATAAGTCAGCTTTCCAGGACCTGCACAAGGTGGAAACGGTGTATCTCATATAGATATCCTTCCATCTCTTCTCTTCCCCTCTCTGAAAGAAACTTGAAGTGTTAGATTCATTAGCATAGAACTAAGATTCATTATAGAAGGGGTGAGTTAGGCTCCCTCAGAAACTCGGAGGGAATGTGGTACTTACAATACCCTAGAGTTGATCCTTGTTATCCAGCAAGGAAATAATGACTACAAAGTCTGTGATTGATTTGATTGGTGGATGGATAGTAAAAACTTAGCTCAGGAAACCCCCAGTCACTGGTGTTGAAGTGGGACCCTATTTAGCATGATGTGCTAGTGTGAGACTATTAGCATTCCAAGGCCCTCCTTGCATATGGTAGAATGGAAAAGGAAGACAAGAGAAGGGAAAAACTTCTTCTTTTTTTTTTTTTTTTTTTTTTTGAGACAGAGTCTTGCTCTGTCACCCAGGCTGGAGTGCAATGGCGCAATCGTAGCTCACTGCAAACTCCGCCTCCTGTGTTCAAGTGATTCTCCTGCCTCAGCCTCCTGAGTTGCTGGGATTACAGGCACATGCTACCACGCCCAGCTAAATTTTTGTATTTTTAGTAGAGATGGTTTCATCTTGTTGGTCAGGCTGGTCTCGAACTCCTGACCTCATGATCTGCCTGCCTCAGCCTCCCAAAGTGCTGGGATTACAGGCGTGGGCCACTGCTCCAGGCCTTTTTTTTTTTTTGGACAAAGAGTCTTGCTCTGTCACCCAGGCTGGAATGCAGTGGTGCCATCTTGGCTCCCTGCAACTTCTACCTCCTGGGTTCAAGCAATTCTCCTGCCTCAGCCTTCCGAGTAGCTGGGATTACACGCATGTGCCACCACACCCAGCTCATTTTTGTGTTTTTAGTAAAGATAGAGTTTCACCATGTTGACCAGGCTGGTCTTGAACTCCTGACCTCCTGGTCCACCTGCCTCAGCCTCCCGAAGTGCTGGGATTACAGGAGTGAGCCACCGCACCTGGCCAACACTTCTTAAGCCTCTAATCATATAGCAGAACCTGGGCCACATGATTTCCTTATTTCGTTTTTGTTCTCGAAGAACTTTTGCAATGTTTTATTTTCTCTATTTTACAAATGAGGAAACTGAATCTCAGAGAGGTTGACTAGTTAACCCACTCTTACATCATCAGCTAATGTGCATGCAAAACAGGGCTTCTAAACTAAATCTGGTACGCTCACCTGAGTGGGAGTTAGAAGGCCCACCCTACCTGGCTGTGGGAATTGGCATAAATAATTTCTCCTCAGGCAAGTCTTTTAGCCTCTCCCTTCAATCGTTTCTACAGCTGTTAAGTGAGGAGCTTGTGAGGGGCCAGAAGCAATAGAAATGTGAGAAGCAGAGCGGATGAGGACATGGCAAACTGTGGGGCTGGGTACCCTCGCCTGACGTTCTACTCCTGGTCAACTGATATTTGGAAATGTGAGAGCTGATTTTTCAAAAGGAGTTTCTTTTGTGGGGTATGGGTGTGTATACATGTGAAATATCCTGATTTTCAACTGTTGGCAACAAATTCACAAAAATGTAAAATATCAAGCCCAAACA